AAGGGTGTTCCCGTGACTGTGCACAGCCCAATTTTCCAGGGTGCATTACTGCATGGTCTTTTTTTGCATGTCTAATAAAGGCCTTAACTGGCTATAGATCCATACACAATGGACTTCAGAAATCACATTGTAAAGTGGTTTGGGTTTTTTTTCCATTTTTTCTACCTTTACTACTGGCTACTGACTTTGAACAGACTGTGCTGGTTTTGGCTAGAATAGAGTTAATTTTTTCACAGTGGCTTGTATGGGCTATGTTCTGGATTTGAGCTGGAAACAGTATTGATAAGACAGGCATGGTTTTGTTATTACTGAGCAGCGCTTACGAGCCAAGGCCTTTTCCACTGGTTATACTGCCATGCTGGTGAGAAGACTGAAGGTGCACAGGAAATTGGGAGGAGGCACAGGCAGGAGAGGTGACTCCGACTGACCAAAGGGATATTTCATACCATGTGGCATCATGTTCCGTATATAAAGCAGCAGGGACAGAAGAAAGGGGAGGATGTTTGTTTGGAGTGATGGCATCCATTTTCCCAAGTCACCATTACGTCTGATGAGGCCCTGCTCTTCAGGAGTCTGAACACCTTTCTGCCCATGGGAAGCAGTGAATTACTTCCTTGTTTTGCTTTGTTTCTGTGAGCAGCTTTTGCTTTCCCTATTAAACTGTCTTTATCTCAACCCATGTGTTTTCTAGCTTTCACCTTTTCAGTTCTTTCCCTGATCCCACTGCTGGGGGAGTGAGTGAGCAGTTGAGTATTACTTGGTGGCTGCAGTTAAACCACAACACAGATCCATGACAGTTGAACTTCTGATTCTGCTTACCACAGTTAACATGTGTAGAGCCGGGTTCCCATCTATCTCTTCGTAAGACATACTCTGTAGACAGGGAAATTCTATACTTCCACTCTTAAGTTGTTTGAAGGATTAAAGGAGTGGTTTGTTTGATGTTTTGCATAGGTCTGTATATATGCTATTTCTCTCCGAAATACTTTAGTTCATTTGTTGCAGATTCCTGTTGTGAGTAGCCTGAAGATCCTTGATGAGTTGGTGAAACAATATTGTAGAAATAGCTTCAGTCTAACGGATATTTGAAGAAAAGGTGTGCTGTAACTTTGAAAACTTTGTTCAGTACTTCAGTTTGAGTGATATCTCTTGAAAAAGAAACAAGTCACCTTGTAGAAGACTTTATACATAATATAATACAGAAACATTAATCTGTAAGTAAAACTCATCAAAAGCCCTTTGTATTTAAATGTTACTTGTTCTATATGAAGAGTCTAGAGAAATACACAACAATGGTTTTAATTACATATATTTATATTTGGTGCTTTTTTTGGTTTTACTGCAATGCAGCTTTGTGTCCTCCCTTGATTGGTACAGAAGGATTGTAAAGATAACAAAGACTGCTAAGGCATTACCTTTGGGCAGGACATGTTTTATGATCTCAGTGTTGCTTCTGTACAACATCAAGCACAGGAAAGGATCTGAGGAGAGCAACTATGACTTATCTTTTTATTTGCAAAGATTTGCACTGAATAAATAGATGGGAGTATTTAAAATAGCTTTTGCATCTGCCAAATTGAAATCTAATGTAATATGATTCACAGAATGCTTATTTTTATATCAAGTTCATTCTATTCTAATTATATACAAAAAAATTTTTGTATAATTCTAATTATACATTATTTAAATCATACATAATAGGAATAGTCAAGAGAATTCAACAGAGAGCAGGAGTAAGCTGTTCTACACACATACTTATAATGCATCAGAGTTATTTAACTATCGTCTGTGGCCTTAACGTTTCTGAATCTTTTATCTTCTATTTACAGTTTTCTAGATGAAAATCTGATGTGGATTGGTTTAATATAGCTTATTTAATTGCTGATCCATGGGGTTTTTTCCATAATAGAATTTTTAACTTTTCTTTTTTGTAGTAAAATATAGTCTTAAATCTGAAAAACAAACTGTGGAATCAGTTCCTTTGAGGAACACACCTCTCTGAGTTCATGAAACTGGAATGTATTTAGTCCTGAGAAGTTACTAGTCTCAGTGAACGATAAACCATTTGGCTCCGGTTGTGCTGGCACACGTCCTTGTGGCCATCTGCTGTGGTGAATCACTTGCAAAAGTTTGATAGGAGTTGGGATTTGGGTTTGGTGGGCTTTTCTTGTTTTGTTTTAAAAGTCCAATACTCTAGCTCTGCAGGCTTATGCTTGTGCCTGCAATATATTTCAATTGTATGTGCTTAACATGTCCTGGGATTAGGATGTCAAACTGAAGTACAGAGAAATGTATTGCTAATTAGATGATAATTCTTGGTAGCTTCCCAGATCTAGGCTGGATAGTTTACAAACAGCTGTGTAGCAATATGATGGTGTTACCAGAAAAATCTGTCAAACTGATGGTATGTTTCATTTTTTATTATTATTATTATTATTCTATAGATGTTTAACAGAACAATGTATGCCTATATGCAGCTGAACTATATGTTTTTACATTTTATAATTAGCTTTTTAATCTATACCCTGTTTTAGTACTTTCTGTATAAGCGGGTTATTAATAAATTCATTTTTATCTCTTCAGAAGTCAAAGTATCTGTTTTTTTCTGAAAAGAGATCTGACATCATGAACTATTGTCCATCTAAATATTACATATTTGAAAGAAAAAAAAAAATAAAACAGACCTTCTACTATGGGAAAAATTCTGACATTAATTTTAATATTCTTGTCTTTGAGCTGATTTTAAATGTGTAGCACCAGGTTTTACAGTACTGGACATTGTTTGGGACTATTTTTTGTTTAACTGTTCTGTAGAGATGATCCCAACTCTAATTTTTAATGGGTAAAATATTACCAATTAAATACAAGTTTAAAAATAAATGTGATAATTAGTCTATGAATGCTATTCACAAAATAGCAGACATATTTGATAGCCCAAATCCTTATGTGCTTTCCTTCTGGATTTCATTATGGCACCATTTCAAATCAATGTTAATTTATGTAGTAAAACCTCTGTTCTGTAACTTAATAACATACAAACACGTTTGTATCCATGCCATATTAGTTATTACAAAGAGGTGTTAGCTTGGACATAGCACTTTTTGGAACTTCAACTGAAGGCTGAAGGCTGTTTTTGGTGAGGATGATTTCAAATAGGGCGAAAAACAGAGCATTGTACTATTTTGGCTCACTTAAAAACAACAACAACAACAAAAACAAACAAACAAACACACACACCCAAATTTGTATGTAACCTAGATTCTGGTGAAAATCTTAATAATGGTAGTTGCTGAAAAACTTTTTAAAAAGTTGTTTTGAGGTCTGTGAACATGATTTATGGAGAACTTGTGGTTTTGCTTTTTAAATGAGATTCGTGTCCAAATAACAATTCCCTACCCACAGCAAGGGTCCTGTTTCCATTTGGTCTTTAAGTATTTAAAGAGTACACAATATTGCAATATTTTTCCATATATAGATCAATTTGGCATGCTAGTACACTTCCCTTGCTCCAGCTGACTTTGTGGCACAGTTGCCAAAAGCCCTTTGGGACTTGGCTGAAGAACTCTCACAGCATAAAAGCAAACTGCTTGGTTTTTTAGCCTTAAAGGAAACTCCTGTTATTTTTAAATTAATCTCGAACAGCACAGCTGCTCTCCCCAGTAGATCTGCATTAGACTTGTTGAATCAGCTTCTTTTTATTCCGTATAACAGAGGTCCTCATCTGCTATTTAGATTTATTCTCACTTCACTTTGACCCTGGCTGAAGAACAAAAGCTGTGTTTCCGGCAGATTAGTTTACACGCAGTGATCTTGTCACACGGGTGTAGCAACAGAGTATCGACTGTCTTTCACCTCTGCCTCTGGCTTATGGCAAAAAAACCCAACAACAACCAACCAAACAAACAAGAACAAACCCTACCCCCCCCCAAAAAAAAAAAAGGAATATTAATGTAAAATGCTACACTGTGGTTTGCAGGTGTAAGTTCTCGAGAAGCTGGAGTTAGAAGAATGTAAATTGGATGGGCTTCTCTGTTGAGGAGCTCTTGGAGCAAGTTGGGGGCCACTCTCACTAAAAGTCACTTTATTGCTTTGCTAGGGCCTTATTTTGGATGGTAGCAGGGAGTTCAGTGTGCCTCAGAAAGGGGAGAAGGTTGGGTTTTTAGCCATGCCTCCTTGTGTCAATGCCCAGTGGTGCCAGTGAAGAGTGGGTGCTGACAGGCAGCGGATCCATACCCTTGTCAGAGGAGAGTGGAGAACTGTGCTCAATTCTGGGTTCCTCAGTACCAGAAAGACAAGGAGATACTGGAGAGGATCCAGAGAAGGGCCACAAAGATGATTAGGGGTCTGGAGCATCTCTGTTACGAAGAGAGAGTGTGGGAGCTGGGCCTGATCAGTTTAGAGAAGACAAGACTGACAAGCGATCTCATTAATGCACATAAACATCCCAAAGCGGGATGCCAAGGGGATTGTTCCAGACACTTTTTGGTGTTGCCCAGCAATCAGATGAGGAGCAACGGCCATAAACTGAAACGCAAGAAGTTGCACCTCAACAGGAGGGAGAACTTCTTTACACTGAGGGCGGCACAGCACGGGAACAGGCTGTCCAGGGAGGGCGGGGACTCACCCTCTCCGGAGATATTCAAAACGCACCTGGACGCCTTCACCTGCTCGAGGTGACCCTGCCTTGGCAGGAGGGGATTGGAATGGATGATCTCCAGAGGTCCCTTCCAACCCTAACAATTCCGTGATAGCGCTACCGCTGGAACGCCGACACACGGCACCTCCTCACCCATCCCGGGCGGGTGGAGGCCGCTCGGGGGCCGCTCCCGAGCCACCACCCCCGGCGGGGCGGAGCCAGCCCTGGGCTGGGCTTCCCGGGAGCCGGCCGGCGTGCACGCCGGGATTTGCAGTCCTGCCTCCCTCCTCCGGTTCTCCTGCCTCTCTCCTTCCGGGAGCGACGCGTGCCCGTTGGCGGGGGCCGGGAGCGGCCGTTTGTTGACTTCCTCGGGGGCGGCGCCGCGCGCCGGGAATTCCCCGGGGTGGCGGAGGCTGAGAGCGCGGCCGGGCCGGCGGGGCGGGGAGCGATGGGCGCCCGAGGGGCCCCGAGCGGACACCGCGACGGGCCGCGCTGCCTCCCCGCCGAGCCGAGCGCCCGCCGCTGACCCGCCCGGCCCGGCCGGCCGGGCCCGCAGAGGTGAGTCCTGGCGGGGAGCGGCGGTGCTGCCGGGGAGCTGCTATAGGGGGCGGTTCCGGCCGGTCGTTAGTTTCTCTTTCTAAAACAGAGTGGCCTTCGTAGAATCGCGGAATTGTTAGAGTTGGGAGGGACCTCTGGAGATCATCCAGTCCAGCCCCCTCCTGCCAAGGCAGGGTCACCTCGAGCAGGTGACACAGGAAGGCGTCCAGGTGGGTTTTAAACGCCTCCAGAGAGGGAGAATCCACGCCCTCCCTGGGCAGCCTGTTCCGTGCTGTGCCGCCCTCAGTGTAAAGTTCTTCCTCCTGTTGAGGTGGAACTTCTTGCGTTTCAGAAGTGCCAGGGTGTCGATCTTGTGCCGTGCCCCTGCCCTTCTTATCAGTCACACTGGGCCGGTATAAGGGGGTTATCCTGCTGGGGGACCGGCAGCACAGTTTAAAGGTACTAACTAAGAAATTGGGAGTGGTCCTTGGGTAGGCAATAAAACTAGTTAGAAAGGCGTACCTAATCAAGCTGAAAAACTGTGTGAGTTCTTGGAGCTGCGGGCTTGTGTGTTGGTATGGGGGGAATTCTGGCAAAGGAAATGAACAAATTGGTCGAAGGTGTGGAAACAGAAGCATGATGGAATAGTGGAGCAGACAGGAATACAGGTGCTCAGGCAGTGTTGCTTTAGAAGAAGGGAGTACAGAGTAGCTCTGAGGTGGTCTTATATGCTAATGAAGCGTTCAACTTTTAAGAAATTACAGCTTTAAATCTTGGTGTTTCACCTGGTAGGGAAAATACCCTTATCTCCTTAGATAAATCAGTCCCCCAGCAACTAAGAAGTGAGAGTGTGTGTGTCACCTATTCCAGTGAGTGGTTTTAGGAGCTTTTTGTTTCTAAAGGAATCCCTTAATTTCCCCACTGTCTTACACTGTACGAATGCAATAAAATCAGTGTGCTGGAAGCCAGCTCTGGGAAAAGCACAGTAAGGAGAAGATTGTTGTCGTAACAGTGAAGTCTGCTCTGGGCTCCAAAGATCAAGCTTCTCTTCTGAGACAGAGTTTTCTGAGGAGTGTTGTTAGAGTCTATGGGAAGTGTAATTTCCTGGATATTGTCGTGTGATCAGATGTTACTGCTGTTAATATTACCTGTTATCTGCTAGCACCTGGATCCTAGAATTGTAGGAGTAGAATTACTGTAGAAACCAAAAGAAATCCAATATTACTACTTCTTTTTGTTCTTTGAATGATTGGTATTTTATAACAGGACTTGTCTTAGAAGCATTAGATGATTGCACTGTAACTTAAGTATACAATTATTGCCCCAAATTCTAAGCACAGTTTTTAATCTAAACTCTGAAGTGAAAACGCAGAAAACATTGGTTGAGTAAACTTCAGATCAGATTATATGAGGGTTTTAGCCACCTCAACCTCCCCCCCACTTCACATCTTTGCTACAACTACTTATTTTTAGGACCTTGTATGCTATGTTTACTGTTCAGAAAAATATAAAGTGACTTTTGCTAGAGTACTAGCTAGGTTATGTTTTACAAATCAAATTAAAAGGTTCTTTAAAAGAGCAAAGAGGATGAAGTGACATCTTTGTACAGCAAAAGTGGGTAATAAATTAGAGATAATCTTAATAAATTTCAGCTAATATTCTAATTTGGTTTTCATGAAGTCTGTTTTCTATATGGCAGTTAAAAAGTAGGGGCAAGTGGGAAAAGTATTGGTCAAATACATGGACAAACTGTATTTAGTTTACTCAAGGTGAAGAAATAGAATAATTTAATCTGACAGCACTGGAAAATCTGTGCATGGACTTGCAAATCCAGTAATAGTTGTTCATATGATATCAGTAGATGCATTGAATTGGAGATGGTGCATTATGTCTTTAAAATATTACATGTAGAATGCCTGCTAGGAAAGTGGAAACTCCCTTTGAAAAAGTGCAGACCTGTCACTGCACTGTATCTGACTTCTTTAGAATAGATTTTGAAGAAAGTAAGTGAGAAGGTAGAAGAAAACAGGATAAAATGCAATGTGGGTTTATCTTTTGATGAATGTTTTGGCTCTTTCCCCGTTTGTTTGTTTGTTTGTTTTTAACGAAGGAAGTCTAGATAGATAGTCTATATGAATAAAAGAGTTACAGTGATAATGAGATCAAGTTTGTTAAGATGGTGATGACAGGATTAAAACAAGGGTCAGGCTGGTAACTAGCTTGCTACATCATATGGTACATGTCTGCTTTATGCACAGTTCACTTTGCAATCAGTCTTATGGTTTTGCTGTACGTGTTTATACTGTAATTGCATTAATTAACTTATTTACATGGTTACACAGGGTTTCTATATGGAGTTCTTAGTGTATGAAATCACAGATGCTACTAAAATTTGATAGGACGTTTGGGGAGAAGAAACTAAGTTTGAGAGAGTAAGTGAAGCATAAGTAGCTTGAACATTCAAAGTCATCCACTTAGGAGCTGCTAACAGGAACTGTAGAATTGTAGGACAACTCAAGTTGGAAAGGACCTGGGAAGATCATCTGGTCCACCTTCTTGTGTAAAAGGGAGTCTAGATGAGATTATCTGTGACCCTGTCCATTCGTGTCGTGAAAACCTCCAGATGTTATGTTGGTGAGTTGCAGGAGGTGGCCAAGGGCCATCAGTGCAACTCAGTTTAACTTGCCTTTTAGTAGCTGTAGCAGGTGAGGCACGTTTCCAGTTGAATTAAAAGTTAATGCAATTGTACAAGGCTTCCATAATATCCTATCACTGAACTTGTGAACTTACTGAATGTTAATTAATCTGTCACTTTAATTGAGTGGGAGGAAACTTATGACTGGGAGGTAGGGCCTGCTGTTTGGTTTACAAAAGAAGATATGAAAAAAACAAACCCTCTTAGCTTTCATAAGTAGTTGTTCTTTATAAATATTTTGAAATGGGAAGCAATGAACCCCCCCAAAAAATGCCTAATGAAATAATATTCAGTGCTATCATGAGAACACATGGGTTTATTGGTAGCCTTTGAATATACTTATATTTGGTGCTAGAAAGATTTAATAGCCAAGAGCCATCTTGCTCCTATTTGTGTTTCTTTGGCAGTACTGCTCCTAATTATTTTTGACATTAAATGTAATAGTTTAATAAACAGGATTATATGATGCTGAGAGGATAATATTTCATTGACTCCAACTTTTGGGGTCTTTATTTTCCCCCTCTTCTTTTCAGGTAGTTGTCAGGGAATGTGACAGCATCCACAGGAAGGCAGATGTGATTACATTACACTGAGGATGCATAAGTGTTGCAAATTAATGATGGAGGTACTGGAGTATGAAACTGTTCAGAGAAAGTAAAATTTATCAAGCATTATTGTCATAAAATGGGCTTTTTAGTGCTTTTCTAGTTTTTGTGAGAGTAGCTTATTTATTGTAAAAAGCTTGAGACTGAAAAAAATTGCCTGTTGTACCTAAGAAGATTTTGCTTGGTTTTTCTGGCTCAGAAAAATCCAGATGTTCATGATAAATGAACTACAGTGATCTGGTGTGTGAGCTTGGAGACAGTGACTTTCCATTTCCTGAAGGCAGCAAAACTAAAATGATTTGGAAGGTCTAGTTTAGCTGATGTGCTGACGTGTTCCTGAAAGAGCACCGAGTATGCTGAGGTGGCAGGGCTGTGCCCTTGTACGCATGGACTCTCGGGGAGTGCTTTGGACCTGTGGACTTTGTTCATATGGAAGGATGAACAGTGGCCAAAGTTTGCAGCTACTGAGATGTGCATGTAGAGATTATTTTTTTTAATTGAAAAATGGAGCAAGTATCTCTAAAAAGGGATGTCTTTTTTCTGTAGAACAGGCTGTTCGCCACTGGAATCAAAGAGAGCCTAAGATTTCTGAAGGAGATATGCAAAATAATAGATGCTTAAAGAGACTGGAAGTCTTGCTTCTTTTAACATCTTGTGTCATATGCTTCATGTAGCTCATGGAGTTTTTGATGCTGGTTACAGGAATTCTGTATTATTCCTTGCAGTGCTTCCTTTAAAAAGTGTCTTTCTATAAAGAAAAAAGTCAGTACAACTTTTCTGAAATTAAGGTGAGGGCTGCAACATGCTCATTCAAGATTCCTGTGGTTCAAATGCATTTCTTGAATTTAAAGTTTTACTTTTGTGTCTACATCCAAATATATGTATATAACCTTCTATGTAAGGCAAGGTGAATGAATACAAAAATTATGCTCTTAACAGCTGGAAACTGTCCATATTACCATTTTGGAGTCAAACTCCTTGACTCTGGATGGTAAACAAGTAGTTCGGACTTGAAAAAACAGGAAAATAACCATCTTAAAATTATTTACATTTGACTTCTGGAAATATTTTGAAAACAGTTCTATTCTCTCTCAGATCAACAGGTAGGGAAAAATGGGGATCTGCTCCATACTGGGAAAAATTTAATGTAATCCTCCTTTTACTATCTCTCCTTCTGATCCGAGAATAAGATTAGCATTTCAAACTACAGAGATTGTTTGTGCTATGTCTGTTTGCTATTAGAGCCTCTGCATCCCATGTTCCTTCTATTTAGAATGTGTTTTATATTTAACTACCTCCCATGGTGTTAATGACTAGTATTTGTAAAGCTTTGTAAAAAGAAAAGATATCTTTCTGCCAAGCATTAGTAAGAAATGGGAAAACATTCTTTTTCCTCAAGATATTTATTATATTAAATCAAAGATGTTCTATAGCATGTATTGAAGCACTAACGAACAACAGAAGTGGTTTCTGTAAACCTTTCTTTTCTTCACATTATGTGAAAGAAACTTAAGTGGTGCCACCTCTTCAAACTCCTACTCTTAGAAACAGGGAACGTAATTAACTCCTGCTAGAACTTATTACTCTGTCCTGGTAACAGTGTATTCAGGTTGGGGTTTTGTTTGTTTTTAAACATTAGTTATTTAATACAAACACTAGCACTGGCACTCATATAATGTATTTACTTTTGGATGTGAAAATTAAAGTCCTTTGAAATAGACTTTCACATTCAGATCATTCTAAAAATAAGTATAAATGTAATGTAATTATCACAGGCAAAGTGTTTAGCTAATGTGCTGAAGTAAAGGAATTAAAAAGTAAATTATAGGGAGACCTTTCCTAGAATGGGATATGTCATAAATGGGATTTTAAAGCTTGCATTACGTAGGCAGAGATGGACATCAGTTGTATTCAGAGACATTAACTTGTCAGTATCCTACTTCAAATATTTTAGTGGGAAACCTTCCACTTTTAACTGATCTGTCTAGTGCAGATTATCTCATGAAGTGCAACTTCAGAGAGGTCAAAATTCACTCAGGTGCTTCACATTGACAGCTCTGGGACATGTGCAGCAGTGCTTACAAGTGTGGCTTTGATTTGGAGAAATTCAACAGATTAAAACATAGCAGCAGTTCTGTGGTTGCACTTGGTGAGCCATCCTGCAAGCCCTTCTGGCATCCTTCTACCAGATTCGAGGAGCCATAACTCCTGGAATAATCAAAGCACTTCTTTCTCTGTTGTTTACAGTTCATGTTTTTTAAATGATGTAATATAATGCTGCAGAATCTAAATATTTATTCCTGTCCTTCAGTAAAATTACGGATTACAGCTGTAGTCAGGGATTTCTTACAGATGTAGCCCCATTTTGTATTATAAGGGTTTCTGTCTATCGCGACAGCAAAAAAAAAGGAGATAGATAAAATGTGCATTTCACCATGGCCTTTATGGTACTGCTGATCTTAAACTGTTTAATGGCAGTTTGTTGTCACTTAGTATGCAATATGTTAGTCAAAAATGTATATATTGGATTTTTCTGAAGCTGGTATTTTGTGTGTAGAAATTTAGAAAAACATGTATTACAAAGCCCCTTTAAATTATGTGGGGTTATTTGCTTCCCTTATAAATAGTGTCCAATGCTGGCTTAGAGAGCAGCATCAGAAATCCTGAGTTGAATAATCCTGTAAACTAAATGAGATCTTTTGAGCAAAAAAATATTAGAGTAACTAGTTCTCTTAGCATGTGCCAGTTGTGTACCCGAATTTATAAAATCTTATTTGTGTAATCGGAGTCTTAATTGGAGGGTCTTTCTCTCTTGAAACTCTTCAAGGCAGTAAGTTTTAGTTCATAAAATGCAGAAGAAATGCAGAATCATCTTCTTATGTTGTCTCCTGTTTTCATGTATTGCCATCTCCTGGTGGAACTGATATGTGCAAGAAATAGGGAACGTATGATGCTCAAGTTTAGGAGCTGAAGGAAAGCATGGGGATAAAGATCTATTTATGTACAAAGTCACAAATCTGCTGCTTTGTTCCAGAGATAATGATAAGCTGTGACACTTCTTTAATGACGTTTGAATTGAGTGTTCAGAGAAAAGGAGATGTGTTGCCTTGAGAGGGCAAGCTCTGAGGAATTTGATGATATGGGTGGCAAGACTTGCAGGGCCCTTGGTAAAATGGAGGAGGATGAGCTGGTATGTTATGTTCATCTTAGAAGACAAAATGAGCAATTCCTTCAGCCAGTTAATGCAGTTTGAATGGCGTAGTTCTGTTGGTCAAGGTCACCTTGGAGTGATACTGTTCTTACAAGGAAAAGGAAGCGAATCCTTTTTGCAAGGCTCGTTCTGCTTACATATGAGGCAGAACAACAAGCAAGGGAAGCTTAGGCATCAAACAGTGTACAAGGCATCTGTTTGCCTCCTGAGCATAGCGATTAAAAGGGCTCCAGTTTTGGCTTGTAGTTTTTCTGTCTTTTTTTGCTGTTGCAACTCCGTTACTGTCTATTTAGTAAAAATGAGCTGTCACAGTTTTTTATCATGTTGTCTAACTGCCTTGGAGCAAATGGAGACAAATGTGATAACAGCACCATTGTTCAGCAGTAGCTGTACTACAGCTCTTCCTAATGCTGCACTCTGTAAGCTTTTCCACTGCTGGCACAGTGAGAGAACTTTGGCCACAGAGCAGTTGATCCCTTTACCTCTTAGTATCCAGAAACAACTGGAAGTCCAGTTTGAATTTAAATAGCAAATACACAGGAGAAGCAGCAATTGGGATTGTGGGTTTTTCCTGCATTAATGGCTGCCTTTCCTGCAAAACTTCTGCTGATCAGGTCAGTTTTGTGTTGTCGTAAGTTTTCCTACAATACAAACTGTCTTCATTATGATCAGTTCTTTCATTCTAGCATTTCTGTTGGTTCATTAGCAAATCATCAGGAACATAAGGATTTGTTCAAGAGTGAAAAAATAAAACTAAAAGTCTGTTTTTCATAGAATTCACATCAATAGTATTTTAAGGGGGGGGGATGTTATCAAGCACTGTGTAGCATTTCCTAATATTGTTCAGAAATGCAAGGAATCTTTATCTTCATAACTAAATAATAATGAGATGTTTCTTTTTTTGTTGGTTGGTTTTGAGTTTTTAATTCAAACCCCAAAACTTGTAACTAATAACTCTAAGAAAAACGCCTTTAGGGGTTTTTTCCCTTAAGACCTGTGCCCAGGAAAATATATATAATTTCTTTAGGGTGGTATTTTCTTATTGAATGTTTTGCTGGGCCTAAGTGATGTCTGTTGTAAAAAAACCTCAGTGTAATATTTAGTTTGCATTTGTCATTCAGGTGGATCTGCCTAGTATTTTAGGGTGACACTTTCTGTATGGTCAGATTGTTCTAAGTTTTCTCCACTCATACTGAGGCAGGTCATTTTACTGAATATGTTTTCATTCTTACCATATCTGCAATCAAAAATTACTATAATTGTTGTTTGGAAGGAGGTTTTTCTACTGTGACCAAGTAAAGAACAGCTACTCTTGCAGTCTCTTAAAGGACAAATGCAAGTGTACCTTAAGATTCCACTTTAAAGTTTATGAAAAATATAAGTATTTGCATTCAAAAATGAAGGAAGTTTGGTACTTTTGCTCAGGAACCACCAGTAGTTAGTTGATTTGTTGCACCTATAATCTTTTACTGCTCATTGCTGGTTTGCAAAAACTCCTGATACAATATTCCTTTGGAGTTCAGATAGCTGGTACCAGCCAAATTTTAAGCTGGTGTTAAACCTTAATAAAAATTAATTTGAGGGTTCATAAATCTGATACATATTCAAAATATTTTTATTAAATAACAGTGAAACCTGCTTCTTTTCTCACCAGCATATTTTTAATGTAAAATGAATTTCAAGACTTTTCTGCAAGATTAAGATACTTCCTAATTATTCAGTCTTGTCATACTTAGACAGAAACACCCTGCAGTATTATTTTGGAAGGTTTTCAGATTCTTGATGAATTTGTGTTTGTGAAGACTTTGCATTTATATCTGTCTTTTTAACAGCTGTCATGGAGGAGTTGGTAGAGGATGACATCTGTATTTTGAACCATGAAAAAGCAGACAACTCTCACAAGAGAGACAGTGATATTCCTGTTTCGTCGTATAGTGGAGATGAGTCTGTTGCCTCACACTTTGCACTTGTCACTGCATATGAAGATATCAAGAAACGACTAAAGGAGACAGAGAGGGAGAACTCCCTCTTAAAAAAAAGAGTGAGAATTCTAGAAGAGAAGGTAAGAAAAAAGTTGATTTACCAGTTTCTGGTAGCAGCTTCTTTTTCGCTCCTGGCTGCATGGTGGAGCAGATGGTTAAGGATTTTAAATATATACTTAAAATAATTTCCATGTTAAAAAGTCTTGGTAAATTGTTTTATTTGTTGAAGTGAAACACAGTTTCTTCCTCTGGTAGTCTAGTTGCACCATACTGGGATTTTTGATTCTTACTGGGCATATATATGGTGCAATGCAGAAACAGTAGCTTCGATTCAGAAAGATGTGTAGTTCCACTGGAGCATTACTGGGGTTTACCTACCTCTTTATGGTGTTTATTAACTTGAGCACATGTGACAGTATTGTTGAATAGTGAGGTGCAAAGCCTGTAAATTGTCAGAATCCAGGAATTGTCTATCAAAACACTGTTGGGCTCAGCATACCTAAATGTTAAGGAAAAATTGGTTGCTAAAACTATCTACTAGCTAATAGCAGTCTCAAATCTGAAATACAAAGTTTCAATGCTTAACATAGATGTTGGTTGTCTATTCTTTGATGCAGTAATTCTAAACCAGAAAGAAATCTTGTAATTTGTTTTATATGCAGTTTCTCATGACCCTAATCTAGTGAAATTCATAAAAGTTAAAAATTGACCAAGGCACAAGTTTTTCCTCTCCAAGTAATGAATGGTGTAATTGAACATGTATCCATCGTTCAGTATTGAGTGCCTTTGTACAGCAGAAGATCTTGACTTTCATAGGTTGCTTTCTTATATGAGATGGGAAGATAGATCCTAGTGTTAGAGCTGAGACATTTTCTAGGAATTAGTCCTAAGCTTTCCAAGAGTGTGTTTTGTGGCATTAGAACGAAGAGTTTGAGTTGCGCTAGGCACAACCTTAAAACACTTATTCAGGAATTCTTGGTGACTAGTTTGACAGGATTGACTTTCTGTCAAAAGGCAAAACTATCTCAGCATTTTCTTCATATGAGGTCTGTGGGGTGATGGGAATAGGAATAGAGCTCTAGACTGAATATTTTTTCAACCATGCTGAGTGTAACATCTTTCATATAGTTACTTAAAATCACAATAAACAAGACTTGACCTTGACAGTTCCTTTTGTCTTGTGTCTTTTGTTTTGGCCTGGTTCAGCTTAATTCTCTTGAATGTGATACTTTGTTTTCCACTTGAATAGTGTAACAATGTTTCTGAGAGAGGAATATTGAGAAAGCCAAGGCTGTTTAAGTAACAGAACTGACTTTCAGTCTTTGTCAATAGCTAAAATATCTGTATGTTTAAAAAAATATACAGGGAGTTACCCCTTTCTGAGTTTTCAGTTTCAGAGTATATGGAAACTTCCAGAAAGCTTATTAAGGCTTTGTGTTCTATTTCAATGTCTTTATTCGGGGTAGGAAAATGTAAAGGACTAAACTTAAAAGGAGTGGTACACATACTTTGAGAGTTAATACAAAAGCAAAGGGCAAAAGCTTCCTATCTTTATGGCTTGCTTTCCCATACTTTCTTTTGAGCAAGCACCTAAAAGAGGAGATACTTAAGGCAGATACGTATGTGTCAACACTTTGGTTTTGTAGTTTTTCCCGTGTAGCTCTTTAAAAAAATACGTACAAATCTGTTGCAAATATCTACAAGAGGTCCACTAAACACATTTAAAGGAAGTGTGCAGGATAAGTGGGATGAAAAAGAAAATGCAATACTCAATCAAACCAAGAACTTTCTATGTGAACAGATGTAATTTGATGTGAGACTGTGCTTCTTTCTGTCTTATTAAAAATGCTGAATATATTTTAATTCTGCTCCCCCTTTTTTGGCAATCTAGTTGGTAATGCTTATTCTGCTTTGCTTGTCTCTTACCAGAGCGGGTAAGGAGGGAGTTGTGACCTGAAAGTTAATAGTTGTTGGTAAAATAATTCTGCTTTGGCTTTTCTTACATAACTACACTGAAAAAAAAATTTGTTTACATTATGAGTCATTAAAAATAAATGTTTGGTATCCACTGAACTTTCTATCTGTTGTGTATCTTATGTGCTTAAAACTCCTTTTTCAAAAAGCAGGTTGTACATTTTCAGGGTCTGGAAAAAGTATGATTAAGGGATTGTCAGCGTGAGAGTAATCGCGATTTGTGAATGTTTTTTAAATACTCATAGCAGTCTAATGAAAAGTGTCCCTGGCCACGGCAGAGGGATTGGACTAGATGGCCTTTTAAATGTCCCTTCCAACTCAAACTATTCCATGATTCTATAAACTACTGAGCATTAACTATGGTTAGAAATTGCAGAATTTGTAGACAGCCTTTGTTGCACTTCTGTCAAAAACTTTGTGCTGTAACTTTGGTTCGTATCAATGTATTTGATTTAATTTATTATCTAAACAACAAAAAAAACTGTTAGATTAGTATTGCAGTCTGTACTGTTGCCTATTTTAGGTTGTGCAGTTCTCAACATAACATATGAAACTTCTTATTTCTCATGTCTGTTAAACTTTTAGCTGCTTGGCTCCCGGCTGGAAGAGGAATGCAGTTCAGTTGGGCGTGAACAAGTAAATAAGGCATACCAAGCCTATCGGGAGGCCTGCATCGACAGAGATAATTTGAAAAGCAAGCTGGAAAAAATGGTGTGCCTTTTTAAATAATGACTTAAATGCATGGTTTAATAAGTACTTGCATAGTTAGTAAATTTTTACTGTAGAATGAATTTTATTTACTTAAGATCTGTGGTTACTTATATCGCTCCTTGAGGGTTTTTAAGTACATTACAATACCTTATGTAGGATTAACAGTATCAAGTATCTCAGTTTTATTACTGGGCTAGAGCAGTGCTAAAGAAAGACCAAAGCAATTTTTTTGTTTTGTTTTGTCTCTGTTAAAAAAAAATTGAATTGTCAAACACGATAGAAAAAAGCTTCACAAATGGTTTTTTGCTGTGTTTTCCCACCCCCCTTACCCCCAAAAATAGGTGAAAGAAAGTGAGGAATCCCTGAAAACCTTGAACGAACAGCTGCAGTCTAAAGAAGTAGAGCTGCTACAACTGAAAACTGAAGTGGAAACTCAACAAGGTTACTTCAGCTGGGTTACTTCATCTTAATGCATGCTGATGAGCCCCCATGGCTATATCATGCTCTTGGGACATGAAGAGGTTTAACCCTGTACAGTGGCTGGATGAGAGAGGCACTTTGAGCTGGGGTTTGTTTCTGTGAGTGGTGACATGCGTGTTAGATGATCATAGGTGAGGAGCTCCATGGTAAAGATCTGAGGCTGTTGGGTTCTACCATAGATGATTTCATGATTTGAGAAATGGGCACAACCTGACACAGTTTATAGGCTGTGCCATGTACATCTCTGGACCCCTCACCACCTTTTTCTCAGAGCAGGGTGGGGACACACCTGTAGTAATAATTATAATAATAATACAATGATTATTCAGTCAATACCACTTCTTCTGGTACCTGCAGAGGGTCAAATATATTCCTTTGTCTTGCCACTGGGATATATGACAGTTACAAGAGGATGTTATATAGCAATAGCTGCAATCAACAACACTCACTTAAAGGGTTGGGAGATGAGAAAAGACAGAAAGATGTTGGTTGTAGAGAGCCTGGTGAAAAGAGGAAGGAGAAACAAACAGCCTATCCTGGTAATTCCAAAATTCCAAATCCAGATTCTGTTACTGCAGTTGTAAAGAGTGCTGGGCACACAGTAGATACATAAAACACTATGGAAGAAAAGAAAATCTGTATTAATTCAGTTACTAGAAAAGAGAATAAGAAAATGCCATCTGTGTAGAGATATGGACTGACTTCAGGGTCTGTACAAATGCAGTCATTTGAAAGGTGCTTAAACTGGATTATTCTCCAAGAGGACCTCAAGCATGTAATGCACTGTTTCAGTTGTACAAATTTTTAAACCTAGAAGAACAATCTGCATGTAGTGCTAGTATGACTCTTGAGGACCTCATGGTTTAAGAGGTAAGAACTGCAGAATTTATAAGGAGAACTTATAAAAGGAGCTCTGAAAATGTAATGATTTCAAGCCTTATATAGAAATCAGTTTTACTAATAAGTGGACTCTGAGTACCTTGTTTGAGTAAAAAAATCAGTGTAGCTTAAGCTTGTTTAAACTCTAAAATCTGGAAATAAGTGTACCCTGTGGTTGAAGATTTGGGGGGTTTCTTCCTGTCATGTTCTTCTTTTTCTTGCTGTCTGACTAGTGTCCTGCTACTGATTTGATGCTAGGATCATCTTAGGTGCCTTCTTACTGTGTAAATTGCTTCAGTCTAACAAGATTTATGTAACTTCTGCACTTTCCCCTTTTGTTTTGATTGTATCCTTTGTTGTTCTGTTTGGAACTTCTTGATACTAATCTTGGGGAAAGCTTAATGGTAAATTATGTAATGACATAAATCTGAGGGGGAAAATACTTGTGTTTTTAAAACACCAAAGTATGCAGGTTGGTGTAGATATTACGTATGTTTGCCATGAACTGATTTTTCTATTTTCAGTGCCTTTATATGCTGGTACTTCCTTTGTCTATATGTAAAATCTCCAGTGTGTTCCTAGAAAGTCGGGCTTTGTGCTTTAAACTCAGAAAATAGAACCACTTCTCTGCCAACAGCTTTACCAGTGTTACTGTTTCCCTGCTGTCATAAACGGCAATTTCTTCAGCATGTAATGTTTTTGTAGGGCATGGGCTGGTTGAGGAGAGCCTTTACATATTGATTTACATTCCTTGAACTGAGACTGGAATTTGATTGTTTTGCTTGTCTTCTTTACAGTGATGAAAAGTTTGAATTGTACTCAGGCCAACTGGGAACTGGAGAAGCTGAATTGTGACCTGAAAATCCATAGTCTGGAACAGGATCTAGAAAAACTCAAGGACGAGCGCAACAGTCTCAAGAAGGAGTTGCAAAAATCCAAGCAGAGGGTACCTTAATTTTAATGGAATTTTTGTAGTAATAGTTTATTTTAAATCCCAGGTTGAATCAAAATAAAGTATTAACAAAGATATAAAGTATATAATCGAGGGAAAGATGAACATCATGGTTAAATTTACCTTCAGTATTTTCTTAGACTGTCACATTTCTTGGAAATAGGAACAGGCTTCCCAGCAAAATGGTCATGGCACCAAGCTTGTCCAAATTTAAGAAGCGTCTGGGTGACCCTTAATCGTAAGGTTTAGTTTTAGGTAGTCCTGCAATGAGCAGAGAGTTGAACTGAATGATCTTTAGGGGTCCCTTCCAAACTGAGATATTCTGTGATTTTACATAGGTGACATTTCCCAGCCATTGCCCAATATAACAACAGAAAATAAAACTTTATGATTTTTATAAGTAGTCATTGAAGTGTTCTGTGTAAGCTGGGCTACTTAGAAAGTTTGGGCAAAAATCTGGTCTCTTTTCTTTTTTAATAGAATGGTTATGTGAGAGATGTCATGAACTGTATTAAAGGAGGCCTAGCACTTTTGTTTAGGGTAGCTGCATAAAGCTTGTCAGGAGAGTACCTCTTCTGCTGCCCTTCCCTGCCATTTCTGGGGCAAGTGTCTGTTTTGAGGGATTAATTTTTTAGCCTGGCTGTTGTTAGGATCGCAGAAAGAAAATTCAGATAACTTAATGCTTTTTGTTACTGTTAAGCTATATGTCTAGTGCATTCTTAATACTTTCCATCCTACCCTTGATGAAAGGGGCAGTGGCAGTCTCTGGGACTCTGCAGTCACACTGAAGTTACACAGGGAATAGAAAAGATTTAAATGTGATTGTTTGAAGAGGCAGGCTATTTTAGATTCCTTATGGCCGTTAATAATGATGGTTATGTAATCTTGAGTCACACAGTATTTGAGTGAGTCTGCATTTTTTCCACTAGGTGGAGATAAAGCACATGAGATGTTTTGTTAACTTCCCTTACTGTTAGTTGTTTTCACTTGTGTCTGGAATTCTTTCAAGTTCTTTCAATGACTTTTAAGAGATGAAGGCATACTGTAACTTGTAATTGAAGATTGCAGATTGTATTGTGAGGGTGAATGTGTTAGAGAGAACAGACTAAAATAGCAGTTTTAAGAGTTACTACACATGACACTTTAAATAATGCTTATATCAGCACCTTTTGTTGGCAAGAACAAATACAAGGAACAGTTTTTTTGTTTGTTTCTTTTTATTTGAGTTTTTAAATATAATTTTTTCTTGATCCTGGTAACTACTTAATATAGAAAACACAAAGGTGCAAGTTTTCAAATATGGGGTAATACAGCACAACTGTTTTTTTAACTTTGAAATTGAATCTTTGGTGAGCAGTGGTGGGAAAGTTTTCACGAGGGGAAAAATCTGTCAGGTGAAATACAGGCAAATGTGATCAATGACAAGTCGGCATTGTTTCAAACCCAGTGGTATTTTTGTTATTACTTGATTTAATTATATTAGTTAGCTTTTTCAAATGTTTTCTACTGTGTAGAAATGGTTTGCTTTCTATTTTTTTGTACTTTTACAAATTCGTACTCAGGTTTTGCATTGTAGTTGATGCAGCGTGTACATTATATTGACAAGTTGCTTGAAATGTGCACAGGCTGTCATGAAGCCACAGTAACAGGTATCAAATTCAAAACAGCTTTGGCCAGGGGAAATGGTAGTAGGAAGGTAACAGGAAAAGAAGGGATATGAATGGGAGCTCATCACAGGTGAGGGTCTAAGAGAAACACAGCTAATGAAGTAAGCCCAATGTTATAAAAGTTAACTTTTGGAAGTAAATCTATACTGACACAATTTGCTTTAATGTAAAGGTCTTTATATACTGTGATAGGGAAACAACAAGAAAGAAAGAAATTTTATGGACATCAGAAGTCTTTCTCAATTTTTGCTTTTTAAATCAGTCACAAAGTCTGAGGGTTCAGCTGTTAGAAAAAAAAAAACATAGTAAGGAGGTGGGTGATCAATGCCTTCATATGAGTAAGTAGTTTAAGCATTTTTAAGTGGAATTTCTTTGTAGAAGTCTTTTTTTTTCATTTTGAAACCCTCTGCAGCCAACACAAACGAAGACTACTTGTGAATTTCAGTATTACTGAACTTGTAGTTTCTCTGCCACTTTTTCAGATAGAAGATCTGAAATCATATTCATTCAGTCTCTGTCTTCCCTTCACTCTGTTACACAGGACCAGGCTCAAGATGAAAATCCATTGAGTGGAGACCACCTTCAAAAGCAAGCTATCCAGAGGTATGAAAAATCAAGTGATGTTCATGGTTTATTTTCAGTTTACTGAGGGGCAGTTATTTGAACACATAAATATTTTAGCAGCCCCTTTAAACATGTTATTTCAAATTACATTATTTCAAATCTAGGTACACTCATTGAGTAAGATCACTGTAATTTTTTTTCTTTGTTATGTTTGTAGTTCAGGATGATGATGACCATTTACATCTCCAGATTGTTGTACAGAAAATGCAAATTTAATTATCTTGGATTTTAAAACCCACTTTTTTAATAATTAGTTGACTTGAGGGAGATGGTAGATCAATTTATAAGTCTCATCCCAGCTATGGAATATCTTCATTCTGTGCATGGCGATGTTTCTGTGTTTGCATAGTTGCAGGCTTCAAATCCTTTGCACAGTGCTGGAACATACATTCTTACTTAGTGCAGTGTAATAATATTTCAAGACAATTTAAAGGATTTTTTTTTTTAACACTGAGGAGCCACTGTGTGACTTATTTAAAAAGAAATAGTAACTGTCCAGAAAAATGCTAAAATATCAGAAAGCATTTGTTCTCATTTTGCACCCATTCAAATAATAATTGTGCTTGTGATATAAACTCCTGTATTATCCTGCCTTAACTACATGTGCTATATTAGAAATTGTATTTATCTTTTAATTCTTTATGCAAAAGAACTATACAGGAATGCATGAAAATTCCCAAATGTTCTGTTTTGTGCCCATGAAACAGTAACTGCATCATTTATACCCAGTTATGCCTGTTCATGCACTTACAGGATTTTCCACCAGAGGGAAGAGTGGTCCTTCATAAGGACAGGTTATTTAGCGTGCTGCCTTGTTGCTTCTTTAGGCATTGAAGAGATGGGAAGGGAGATCAGTGACTGAAAGAGAACAGTACAGATATTTCTCATCTCATGTTCTCTGGTATAATGACGATAATGTACACACTATACACAAATCACACTTTGTCCTTTCACCTTGACTGGATACTTACTTCTGTGGTTCTGATGGAGCTTCATAGTTAGTCTTGCACGCTGATAAATGGTGTTCTCTCAAGATGCATCAGTTATCTTTTGATCATTGCTCTGATCAAACTGATAATTTGATTGAATGATCACTGATCAGAGCAGATTTATTCCACAAAGTGGGGTTCAGGTGGCAACCATCAGAATTAGCATATGTACGGCATAGGGTTTCTTGTAATACTGTGTAAATAATGAATGTGTAATGGGTATGTAAGCCCATCCAAATATCTGTGGAAAACACATATGAAAAACCTCCTGTGAGAAACACATTTGTTGTAGCTAGCAATCCTGCTTTTTATGGGAGGTGGAGGCATTTGCAGTCAGTTAACTTTTTGGAACATTTGTGAAGAGTCTGCAAATTTGGTTTTTAAAGTCTCAGTTTGCAAATCTACTCTGCCATAGATTTAGACAGGCTGTCATGTTGAAGGTTCATATAACATGTTAGAAGGCAGTATAGGATAAACCCTGAAGCACAGGTTGTCAATTGGTTGTCAACTGCAAACTCGTTGAAAATTAAGCTTTACGATGGGATTCTAGGTCAGCATCCACAAAAACAGTTAAAATGTGTCATGTGTGTTTTAAGTGGAATTCTGATACCTGCAATCATTTGCAAGATGCTTGTAAAAGTGCTAAATGCACTTTACAAAATTCATCCAAACACTTATCTTCTGATTAGTGGCAGACACTGAACTGTCCTTATATTTATCACTTCTGTGTTCAATATTGGACAGTTCTTGATACAGCTTAAGTTTGTTTGGTCTTATTTTTGAGACCAAAACACGTGAATTAATCCTTGCCACATCAACTTAATTTTACAGATGTCATCTTTAATGAACTCTCATCAACAGTTCAAAGAGCCAAGAGGATTCTGCAGTAGAAGGGTCCCAGGTTTATATGAACTTCCTGAAATACCAGTTTTGAAAATTTTAACTTTCTGTCAGAATTGCTGACACCTAATACATTACCTATTAAACTGTCAGCTTCCTCTGTTCTTTAACAGTGCTTTTTGAATCTGACTGTTGGTATTCTGGGGGAGATATTTCTGAGCACAGCAGAAAGTTCAGTTTCTTTGTTTTAAGGGAACACCGTTAGTGTTAACTCACAGGACAGCCTAATACCTCCTTCTCAGAGTGATTTTGAACACATTTGTGCCTGATTTATTTAATGCAGGAGTGATCCTATATTGCTATTTTAGAGGGACAGAACCCTCTCTGTATGCATGAAAATACAGTTAAAAAGCTTATTAATTCTTAGTCATCTCGACAGTTTAAGACTTTGAGCTGCTTTCAAATAAATGTCTTAGGTGAATGTAGTGAGGAAGAAAGAAATCTTCTGGAAACTCTCACCCATGATAGTTCTCTTCAATAAATGTATTTTGGTAGAATGTTAAGCATTAAAAAAGCATTAAGGTATTGATTTCATGTTTAAGTTGAAGTAACTACATCCTTATGTCTTTGAACACCAAGTTAATTATTAATCAACGTAAGAGTGGTATTCAGTGAGCCTTTGCTTGGACTTTTACCAAGAAATATATGGTAATGCTGACTTCCTTTAATTTTTTTGTTCTCAATTTTCTTACCAACTATTAACCTGTAATTCCAGTGTTGGAACAATGCTGCTGTTGCTAAATAAGTTTCTGGTATTACGCTGTCTTAGAAAATGAATTGAGTGACTATTTTTTACACTGTCTGATAAGGCAGTGTATTAACATAATATGTAATAATACATCATGCATAGATGACTTGAATATGAAACAGTATGTTTTATGTTTTAGTTTGGTCTGTGTGGGAGTTTGGGTCTCAGGTATTTAGTCTGAATTCAGTGTAGCAATGTAGATGGCATAAGACCCAAATATTTATTGACTATTTAAAATTCTGATCAATTAACATTACCAGGATCATAATATGTGATGGGGTATGTGGTCATTTACTGAAAGGTATTCGAATTAAACCTACCTTCTTTGCACCTTATGTACTTTAACTATTCCTTTGAGATTTCTAATTTAATGGCAAGGTTGGTTAGTTTCAAATAATGAAATGAAAAAGTATGCTTCATATTTCTCTCCATTTAGGGAATTAAAATTATTACCTAGTAGGTCAATATATAGTGCATTATATATTGTAATAAGCACGAATCGAATAAAATATACAAAGGTCCATCCATCTAAGGTAACTATCAGTACCATTCAATGCATTTTGAATTGTGGTAGTCTAGCAAAATTTGTAGTGTATGTCAGGCAAAATCAATTTATTAACAGATAATGCTTGATAAGCATGTAACAGGCTGCTATAGAGGTGGCAATATTTAACTGGTAATAAATTTTTGTTTTGAAAGTGTGCAACAAGCATATTGGGAACTGAAGAGAGAAATGTCTAATTTGCGCCTAGTGACTGATGTGCAAGCTGAGGTTCTGCGAAAACTGAAAAGAAATCCAACAGCAACCAAGAAAGGCAAGTCAGTGTTTGCAGTAATAGACCTTACAAACACAAACCGTTGATTCAAGATGTCCTATTTTAAAAACCAACTAGCTATCATATCTTATCAGAATCTCATCAATTGAAGTTGATAAGCTAGACTATATTCTGGTTCCAACTTACCCATTTTCTGCTTTTGCTTCTCTCTCATACTGGTCAACTTCACACATAAAGGTGTTGCTGATGTGTTTTTTCTTCAGTACTGTATTCTGTTCCCCTTGTGGCTTTTTTCTCAGTCAAGTGTTGCTTATGTGCATAAGGCTGAGGTGTTAAGTTTACTCGTATTTGACCTTTTACCACAACTACTTCATATTAGGGGGGGGAAAAAAAATCTTTTTGCAAATGCAGTCTTATTTTCCCAGTACAGAATATATGAAATTGGCAATATTTTAAAATTGGACTTTAACAGACTGAAATTTCCCAATGGTTCCATATTTCTTTATGTTGGTGTTCAGAAAAGTTGTCTTTTCTAGCAAAATGCTGCACAATATGACATTTTTTTGAATGTCAAAATACTGGGGAAGCAAAACTGCCTTATATAAACATTAAATAATTTCTTTATAGAGTATTTATAATTGCTGTGAACAGTTCATCAGGTTCTTCTGTTTCATACATATGTTTCTCTTGAGCCAAACGCTAGACTATCAGTCAAACACTGTGGTAAACAGTCTATTTCCTTTGTTTTCTGCTTACTTCAATTGTGGTATTTACTGTGCTCAGAATACAGGTGAAATACAGTGAACTTGGTTACAGTGTATTGGTGACAGTCTCTGATGTCCCTGTCCCTTATCAGATCAAGATATTTTGTTTCTAAACAGCTCAGTGAGGTAATGACAGGATTCACCTCCCGGTCAGTCCCTGCCTTTGTGGTCAGCAGTGACCCATGATCACTCTCTCTCTGGTACTTGGCTGATACAAACTATCAACACATTTTATAGAGTTGGCCATATTGTTACCAGGTGAGTTTGTGTTCCTACAATTCTAAACCACATTTGTCAAATAAATTCAACAGAGAAACTGAGAACTGAATGGGTCTTTGATCTTAAATCTGTCAAGGTTTGACGTGATCGTATAGTGTCTTTCTGTCCTTATTTTTAATTTGGAGTTACCTGTCTTGCCACTACACAAGTACTGATTTTTATTTTCTCATGGGTAAACAGTCTCATTTTCTGGAGTTGTTCATCCACAGCCATAAAGGGTGTTATTGATGGATCACAAAATAGTGGACTTCTGCCTTTTTCTCTGTAGGCTTTTTTCAGCAATTTTTCAGAAGTACGTAAAGAGTGGACAGGTCTGTTGACCATGTTTGTCAGCCACACTTAAGAACATGATGCAGATATTTTATAAATATATGCTTATATGTTTTGAAAAATCTGGGCTTATGAAAAATATGGGTAGAACTGACTTAAACCTTCCACTTCCTATACCTCAGTGCTGGCTGTTTTAGCATCTACAAACTGGCTGCCACTTCAGAGGTGCATTAAGTCTGCAGAACACGTGTTTGTTACTCTGTGTGGGACATGCACAACATCAGTTAACATGTTGATTCTACTTATCTGTCACTTGTGTATGGAGGCATTTTACCACAAGTGTGTGTCTGTGGGAGTTTTTTGTTGTTGATTGTGTTTTGTTTGGGCTTTTATGTGGGGTTTTTTGCATTTTCAGTCTATTTTCATTGGATTCCATTTTTCTTGAACTTCTAATGGTCTGTAGGCCTCAAATTGCTTTTTACACCTGTCAGCACAAAGAGGCCAAATCCAGTGCTTTATAATGTCTTTCAGACGTGCTGCCTGTGCTGTTGGAAGGTGGTTTGGGTTGACATTTGTGAATTGGGTACTGCTTTTTAATTCACAGTGACAAACAGAAGTTGTATTCTTTGACCAAGATACTGGTTCCTCTTTCTTCCTTTTTAGTCCCTTAGGAACTAAAGTTAAAAATTGCAGTTTATACTCAAGATTCACATGTGTTCTAGAAAACAGTGTGTAAGATGTGAGTTTCTTTAACTGCAGGAAGCATTAATCTACTCCCATTACGTGTTTATGTATGTGATCAGTAAAAAAAAAAAAAAAAAAGCTCTGGTTTTATTTGGTCATCTGGTCAGATGTGCATTGAAGATGCACTTCTTCCATTTCAGGTAGACACTGTTTGGTTTCAGAATCCTCCCTTTCCTAGCACAGTTTAAAACTGCCTTGGAATTTCAGGTGTCTGAATATTGCAGTCTGTCACTTCACTTTTGGAAGTCAGACAATAGTGAAACACAGAGAACCTGTGAACACCCCGTGTTTCCCTCTTACTGCTTCATGGACAGTGAGAATTTGGTTTCTGGGCAGCCAGAGAACACAACTTGTTAAAACAATCAGTAGAAGAGGAAGCAGCACTCAGTGTTCTGCATCCAACTGATTTCTCCAAGCACACGAAAATCCTGTTTCAGCATTCATTCCAGTTTGGTCAAAAAGATCCACCAGTTTACCTGTGTCCAAGTGGGAGTCAGGAGGTTTCCTTGGAGTTAGGTGCATTTCAGACATTTTGATTTCAGGTTCTCGGGTTCATCTTGCAGAGTCAGACTGGTGAGGTGAGTATGGCATTTGTAACTTTTAAATAGATACTGAATATGGTCTGAAAACTTGCGGCTTGAAAACACCATGTTTAACATCCCTGCTAGACTGTAGTACATTTGGAGTACATGAAAAATGCATTAGATAATGTAATTTTAAAATCTTTTTTTATCTCCCTCCTTCAGCTGCCCCTACTGCACCAGCGCAATGTGTTGAATCGAACGTTTCAAAGCCGAATTTGACATCTGGGGTAGTCTATAAAAACCTCTCACAGAATGATAAAGTCTTCTGCAACGCTGTGTCTCCCCCTCTGCTGAGAAATGCCCACATCCCATCGGAAAGGGTGACTCTACAAGCATGGGCAGATGAGAGACCCATTCCAGTTGATGGCAAAACATTTCAGGAACACCATTCTTACGGAAAGAGCTCTCTGGAAGATAATTCCTGGGTATTCCCAAGTCCTCCAAAGCCTAATGAGAATGTGTTTTGGGAAATGAAAAATAACCCAACTTTGTTAAACTGTCCAGCAGATTACCTGGATCAGTGTAATCAAAACTGTCTGCACAAGAGTTAAACAATTTTTGGAATGATTCTGAGTAGGCACCTTAACGCTTGAACTTTTTAAGATGGAAAAGAAATCGCTTGAAATGTTCTTTATTTTTAATTCTAGTTTTGAAACAGAAGCCTAGTCTTCCTCTGCTGTTAATCAGGAGTAAGTTCCTTGATGTTAAAGCTGTGCTGGTATAACGCAAAAATAAAGAAATCTAGTATGGGGCCTAGATAGTCTTGTACTGCAGATGACATACATTTGCAAAAGGTTACACTGAAAAGTCAGTTCATGGAATAAAACAAAATAATTCAGTTCTGTATTTGTTTGCTATTTGTCTCTTACCAAGAAAATATTCGGTATCTGGTGTTAAAACTTGTATCAGCTCTAAGGTGACTTTTTGATGGTGTCCTTTTTCAGAATAAGACATACAATGAAGAATTGGATTATCTCTCTCTTCCTCCTTTCAGTTAACTTTTGGATTCCTCTGGTTTAGAAATGCATTTTTATGTAATCTTTAATCAAGAAAGGTGAGATTTAATTTTTTTCTTTCCAAATCCTTGATTTATATTAGATAGTGGTAGGAGAAAAAAATCATCCCCTAGGCTGTCTTACTTAGATTGCACCATTTACGGTTTGATTGTGAATTCTAGGGGACCATAAATAATGCTGCTGAACACTGTGAGTCCTGGAGGCCCAGCTTGTTCCTGCTGAAGGAAACAGACTTAACTCTGTGCACACTGGTGCTGCCACAGAACCATCCTGCAGTTACCCATATTGTGCCTCCTTTGCACGGCATCAGAACCTTGACTCTTGGTTTGGGTGGTGGTGGTGGGTACTAACTTTTCTTCTGGGAAAGAAACAAAGCCTTAATTTGATCGGATTTGGTGTTGTCACACTGTTGATAATACATAAGAAGTATTTTTGTGGTATCTTTAGTACGCCACTGAGATTTATAGAGTTATTAGAATTGCATCTGCCTGTTTTATAGATTATGGGTGTCTAAGTACTATTTTTTTTTTCCTCTTAAGGTCATGAACAGTTTTTAGACAAATACAATTTATGCCTTTGTTTTAACTTATCTGCTTCATACCTGGCTTAATACAACAGGGTTAAGTGACATGTCTTGACTGCTCCAAAGGTTGAAGAAAAATGCTTTGTAATTTAGATCCATGGTGCCTAACTTGTAATGGGCGAGAAGATATTTAATACTGAATGGGCTATTTACACGTGTGGGTGGGTGAAGGAGTTGACTTCACAGGTCCAGCTTCAGATCAAAGTAATAAAATTTAATTTCACAGCTGTTTAGTAGCAAATTATCTTAAAGCTTCTTGCAAATGCAGGGGAAGCTATGACTGTAGCATAGTAATGGTGGGTTGTAAACGTGTGACCGGGGTGCTACATGACCTCTGTGGTTCCAGACACTCTTCCCTGCACAGTAAGTATGAAACCCATCTCTTTCTCTTTCAGTTTGTCCATCAAAGTCGAAGGAATGCCTTCCAGATACTTTCTACTACAGTAGCAAACAGCATACATAAATAATGTTTCCCATTCACCAGATACAGTTTTTCTTTCTATTATCTTGCTCACATATACTGGGTTGTCTGTGATTAATGGAAATGGTGTCAGATGCTGGAATTTATTCTGACCAATGAACACAGCTGACTCAGGGGAGTACAATCTCTTGGAAAGTAATAGAACAAAACCCAATATGCATAAAACAAATCCAAGTCACTAGGCTCTAGCTGATAAAAGCAACTACCTGTGTAATAACAAAGAAAACATTTCTCATGTGGCTGCATAAGCTATATGGCTTACTTTTGGGGTTCCCCACCTCAATATTGCAGAGGGGTTTTTTATTAAGTAATGTATTATCCAACAGACATCAATATTTGTGCAATGAAGGAATTCTACTGTGTAAGATTTTAAATAAATTTATTTTTGTTTGAAATTGGTTTCACTTACAAATCTCCTTTCCGTATTTGGCACAAATTTTTTTACTTAATTTTTAATTCCCTGATTGTATATATATGTTCCTCCAAATACAAACAATTAAATTTGAGCTTCATACCTTTTCATTTGGGGAAAAATAACCAGCCATCTGCTGTAGCCTGCTTCAGCGTATTCTGGGAAAAGTGTTCTCTTGGATGTTGAAACCTGAAGGACTTAGTTACCCTAAGCTATGATGCGTTCAAAGTGGTTTGACTGTTTGTGTCAAAAAGTTCCTGATCAGCCTGCCCTGTCTTCTGTGACTGGGGAACTTAAAATTAAGCTTCTCTGTGCAGAGCCTGAGAATTTCCAAGCTTTGCCTTTGACTCTTGGTTTATATTCTGTGCTGCTTTCCGTGCTGGGGAAGAGAGCAGCAATGTTTGCCCAGAGGGACTCCAGGAGAATGCTGATACTGGAGAGAAGTGGGACTGTGATGGAGAGCTTGCTGTAGGCAGCATTTCCAATCCAATCATTCATTGCCATGTCCAAGCTGTAACATTTGAAAAAGAAGTCCCTAGATCTGGAGTCACCTGGGAGCTTGCTGGCTTCTGAAGCATCTGTTGATCTGAAGCTTAACAATCATATTTTGACTGAAGATGGAAAAGTCATTTCAATCCATGCCACTAGTGGCTTACAGTGCTTTTTCCATCTTCAGAAGTGAAATCTTTTCATCACAGTGACAGCAGATTACATGCAGAAGTAGCTGCAGTAACAGTGTTCTGGTGTTTGTGTGCACATGTGCCTGTGTTACACAAAACTGTAAAACTGCACACAGGAAGGACCAAAATCCTCAAATAATTCTTAAGTGACACCAAGCAAATTTTAACTTGAATGCAAATTTTGAATATTTTAAAACCTCACTTAACCCACCAATGAGACAGTTTTTAACTTAAGGCAGCACTAATTCCATTTAACAGAAATGGAAACAGCTTTTAGGGCAGGAGGAGGTTGTTGCTTTGCACATTTAAGTGAGCATATGGCGAGCTGATGAATATGTATTTGGATATTTGGGGAGCTGGATGAACCTTCTAATAACTTATATGTAAACCTGCACTATTCGATTAATTTAAAATATTTTTTAAATCTGATAATTTTAAGTTTCCCTGCCAGTTTTGTGGTTTAAAACTGATCAGTTTTCCTCTTACATGACCTAGCCATATTGAAGAAAGCGAACTCCCAAATTAGCTCTGATGCAGTGTCCAATTTTTATAGCTGGAAAAAGACGAGCAGCACTAGACATATGGTGGAGTTACAAGAAGACAATACCCATTCCAAGTAATAAAACACAGACCCATGTAAGTATCATATGAACTGTACTGGTGAGATAAAGCAGATTGAACTTTATTTCAAAACCAATGTCCAGCAGACTTTGAGACTCCTGTGCTGAGACACCTGTAGCTTTAATGATGCTCTGGGCCTGGTTTAAAGGAAGAGTGAAAAGCTCCAGTACGTGACACCTGTATTGTTGTCTAATCTTCAGACAGGCCCTCTGAAGAACAGTGGTCACAGAGCAGTAAGAACCTTGTGTAGTTTGAATACAAAAGGGCACGTGGGGTTCTGATGTGTTTTTTGTATTATTTTTTGGGTACTGATTGGTCAGGCTCCCCCATCCCCCCCCTCCTTTTTTGGAGGAGAATTGTGCTACTTGCAATTGTATGAACATAATACAGTGGATGAAAGCTTTTTATATGTACTACCTTTCCCTCCTTCCTTTCAGATCTTGCATTTGTAGGGAGCCCCCCTCAGGAGTTTGGAGTGAGCTTTAACACACTGAGAGGGTGCAGTCTCCAATGAAAAATGGGGAAGGGCTTGCCAAGTGCTACAAAGAGGCACAGACAAGCCCCTGTGCTGCAGAAAAGGCCACAGATGCCATGCTGGGTTGAGCAAGGGTGCTCGGTGACAAACCAGTCTTTGAGCTTTAAGACCTTGTTCCATCAGTGCCAGTAAATAGTGCCTTGCAGTGGTTGGTTGTAAGCAGGCTGGGCACATGGTTCTAGGACGCAGGCGTGGGGGCAGGCTCGTCCGATGGCCACAGTGAGAGCCCTGTAACTTTTCAGAAGCTTCAGCTGTAAGAGGCAGTGTTAAAACTGGGGCTATAAACACTTGGGAATGCCACCTTCATTTTTCAGAAGGTCACGTTAGAAAACGTCAGATGCTTTTATACAAACATTAACTATGACGGGCAAGTGGTGCTGCCGCGCTTCAGACCTTGGCTGACCTCGAGTTAGTCCCTGCCTCTGCACTCCTGTAACCTTTCTGTGTAGATAGGCTAAGGAAGCACACCCAGATTAATTTCCCTAATTGTCTACTCCTACACAGAATGATAATGTATAAGAATCCTGCAGAATTTATTTCATGATGAAAAAAATAATAAGTATCTAATGACCATTAATGAGAGCTGTAATCCCTGGCTTAGCTGGAGATGGCTGGATGAAGTACTGCATGTCTGCAGGATGTCAGCTCCCTGCCTCCTCACCGAGAGGTGACTGCTCTAAGTACAGGCAGTTACCATGATTTGTTTTGTTGGGAGGTGGAGGGGCTGAGGGGTGGAAGACAGACAGGCTTCCAGAGTCGTGTCCTCTCATCATTACTAAGCACTTTTTTAAAAATATTCAACGTGTAGCAAAAAACCATCCAGTTCCCTGCACAGAGCTGAAGGCTTTGCCAACACTACCGCTGTTTTCTTACTCTGACTGGAATCTAGGGCTGCCTCCTGGTACCCCGAGTAGGAACGAGAGTTTATAGCTGAGACAGAAACAAATCCAAAAGGAATTTACTAGTATGAGTTTGTCACTTCACAGTATTCATTCTTTCATTTAAACCTTAAATAAAAGATGTAAATGCAATTAAAGTACAGGATACTGCACAAGACACTAAGAAAGCGAAAGGTGTGAAATCAAGAATTCAGAACTAGGGAACGTCACATTAAGGCCATGGATGTGTTACAGAGGAAGCTGATGCCAGAGCTGAGGGCAAATCCCAGCTCTGAGTGCATCCCAGGGCAAACAGAGGAGGAGCTACAATAACCCAATTCTTCCTTACACCCACAGCAGTGTAGGTAATGGGAAATAACTGGCTGACAGCACCATCCAGCAGATGGGATTTCAGGCTTTAGAGCAGGGCTTAGTTATGTGTGCAGAAGTGAGTTGTGGCTGTCGTTCACATACAGCATGTCAAGGGTGGGGGAGCAATACCTGCAGGTTCCACCCTGGGCTTTGTTCCACTCCAGGCACTAATTCCTCCCCTGCAGTACCAGTCTCTGCACTGGGGTTCCCCCGCACTGGCTGAAGATGCTTTCTGATGAGACAGAGAAGGAGACCCCTATTGCCGATGCTGTGCCTGATCACCAGCTGTGCTGGGAACCTGAGGATGGCCCAGGTGAGCCCTCAGTGCAGGCACATACCACTGGCAGCACACAGCATTGCCCCTAAGGGAATGCTTGCTCCCACACAAATCCTCTTTGGAAAGGCTTTTGACAACAGCTACAAATACCCAGGCTGGGTTTCCAGAGGTTGAAAACATAACAGATTTTCATAAAGGCATACCAGAACTGTCACTATCTTTAAAAACACATTTCACCATCTACCTTAAGTTTATTCATTTTTAAAATACAGTAAAACAACTAATTTTTCACTAACTGATTTGGATTTTTTTTTTTTTAAATGCTTGAACTAAGGAGACAAGAGCAAGTACACATGTAGGACACTGTTCCACACACACTATTTTAAGGTGGTTAGTTTTAGAGCTGAGTGCTACTTAAGTTTGCCTTAAAAGGCAGAATGCTACACATCTCTTCAGTTTTTCATTCACAAGTGTTCCCTAGTCCTCCAGCCAATCTGCTGAAGCAACATCATTACTGATAAAAGGCACAGAATAAAGGGCAAGGACTAACTTGCAGTGTTAAGACCTTCACATACACATGTCTAAGTCCGATTTGAATTTTCTACTTGAATAGCTTTAGAGCAATATTGTGTTTGTGGTGAAACTTTTAAAATAAGTCGAATTTTTCATCTTCTGATGCAAAAGTATCAAATCCTGTTACTTACTCTGAAATTTATTTTTTTTTTTCAAACCAGGGCATTAAAGTTACCAAGTTTAAGTGCAGCCTTTCCCTACTTGTAAAGAATTTGTTTTTATTTCAGAATGTTTCAAAGGATACTCCAAGACAGCCTGTGAAACTTTGAATTACTATCTCTAGTGAAGTCATTTATGCATGTAAGAGTTTTACAGTTAAGCAGCTTCAAGTACCAACACAGGAAAGATCTTTCGTAAGCTCCTTTTTAATTAGGGACTTCCTTGCACTTAGTTCCTGCAAGAAGTGACCTGCATTTACATGCCTAGTTTTGTTGTTTACTCACCTATACCTACAATAATTTTGCAAGTGTGGTCACTTGTTGAAGAGTGGCAGCTTATTCAGTGTTCTCAAAGAATGTCTGGATCAGGTTACTTTCTCCTCTAGAGTCAAAGTGGTCAGCCTGGGCCACTCACAAACACAAGGCATCCGTCCCTTCTGGCAACGTAATTTAAAAATGAGTCACAGTGTAGGCACAAGTACTACCAGGCTCTCATATGACTCAACGTTCTCATGAAAAAGATACTTCACACTGGTCTGAGCAGCTCTTCTCTTCTGCATTTGCCATCCTTCTCTTCTAGTAAGTGCATCTCCATACACAGTCAGTGTCAGGTGATGACTAACAGACCAGCTTCAATGTGTACACAGTTTGTGATCAGTTAATACAATTTAAGGGTGAATAATTTAAGTTTTTATGTAGCCTGGCTCACATAACTAGAAACAAGCTCTAAGTTTCAAATGGACATTCTGGATTTGCAAACTCCAACTTGCAAACTGGTAACAAAATCTCAAGTACAGAAAGTGGAATAGACCTTCGCAACTTCTCTCACAAGCTGCGACAGCATGCTTTAGATCTTTGACTACAGAAAGTCTTAAAATTTAATTT